GCGCCGCTCGCGTCCGTAGACACGGTGTAACATTGGTTTTGCTTTGTTTCACAGAACTAATCGTGGCCTGGATTGCGTACGTATATGTGGGGCGGAGCTATCAAAATAGGGGCAAGACCCTTTTGGGGTAGGGGCGTGTTTGTTTTGGTGATTTCAAATATAAACATTGGCTACCAGAAATCCCTCACTCTGCCTTTAATCCCTGCATTTTTAGCAGGGATAAATAAATAAATAAATAAATAAATGGCTTTAAAAATGTAGACAATAAAATATGCAAACAACAATAATAATAATAATAATTTATTATTATTAATATTTGTATCATTATTATTAGTAGTAGTAGTAGTATTACTATTGTTGTTGTTTAAATGGGATATGGTCCAAAATTATTCTATTCCTCAGTATAAAGTCCAGTTAAAGTGTATCAGAATTAGGGATGGGTATCGTTAAGGTTTTAACGGCCCCGGGACCGATTAAATACCGGGTTTCGGTACCCATCCCTAATCAGAATGGTTTCCATTCAAGCAAAAAAGGAGTGTAGAATTCACAGAACCCGCTATAACCAGCGAACAGTGTAATCCCTGAGTGTCAGCGGTGACTAAAGTCAGATCATAGTGAATTAGACCATGATTCCCTCTGGCAACATGATGTCCGCCACTCTCCAAACAGACTTGTGAAAATCTGAGTGTCAGTGTAACGGTTAAAAACCAGCGTGCAGAGATTAGCCAAAAACCCTGGACTCCAACTACACATCAAATCCCACACAGCGGATTTGAAGCTTTGGCAGCTAACTCGAAAAATACTCAGGAAATCTGGTCAACTGCATGTCAAGCTCTACAACCAAAACTAAAGCAATGCTGTGGAAAGATGAGCAGAACCAGAGAATCAGAAACTCTCTTATATTTGCAATTATAAAATGTAAGATATGAAATCGTTTTGCAATACTATTCATAAATGTTTCTTGAATTTTTTTCAATGTGACTGAGAGGAACGGACCAGGAGAGTTCTGAGGGGAGGAGACCGGAGACCCTCGTGGTGATTGACAGTAGCTGGGGTGCAGTAAGGCATGAGGTGGCACATACGACATCACTTCCTCTTCAAACAAGCTACAGCAAGAAAAAGAGACAAAGATTATTAGTGTTTGGAGGCAAACACATGTATCCTGAAAAAAAAAAAAACATTTCTAAGATACATTTACCTGAGAAGCCAAGAGATAATAATTACACCACCGTGCATCATATTTGCTGAATGAAATCCAATACTTGTTTTTTACTAATTTTGGAGTGCTGATTCCAAAGATAGTGCCCGTTTTGCTAGAGCATGCCACACTTTCTCATGAAATATGTGTATTTTGTAGCATTTTTGCTTTTGACAACCATCTGTAAGGTTTTATCCCTTTTTAGGTCACCAGAAAAACTGCCACAAAGACATGATTCTTATCTTCCTCTGAGCAAGATTACAACTATTTGTTCAATTCTCAGCACATTTTCACATGTATGAATGATCTTGCAGACATTATTTTATGCCGAATCCTGATTTCAAGATTAGAATTAAGGCCAGTGACAGAAGAAAAAGCAAACATGACCCAGATGTTTTCCGCTACATCTGTGGGTGTTTCACTAAATCCAAACAGTGACAGACATTTACAGTTGTTTTTTTAGTTTTTTTTGCTCATTGTGTAAAGTTATTTGACATTAAATGGAGCATTTGAACATATTTTTCCACTCCTTTGCAGATTTTAAGTTAAATGATTTTAAAATACTTCTTTTTGTCATTAAAACTTAAACCTGCTTTTTTATTGATACATGCATTAAAGCTGAAACATACTGTATATACTTTGAAAAATCTTCATTCTTTTGTTATGAAAAAACTATATGTGATGGAAAGTTTTTTTTTTATAGATTTTTTTAAACATCATATTTTGGCAATATTAGGCCCTTTTTGCAAATCAGCAGAAATTTGTTATTAGACATTGTGTTATTAAAGCTGCAGTCCGTAAGTTTTGCCTCTTTGTCGCCATCTCTGTTTGAAAACCTGCAATTGCAGCTGTGTGCGGAATTATCTTTGTTGTGTGGGTTGTGCGGCGGCACGGCTCCAGCGCGGATGAATCTAATTTTTTGAAGAGTATGTGTGGCAGTCAGTCACCGCACCGGTGTGGATATTGTACTTTGCACTCACAGATTCTAGCCTACGTCTTGGAATATATGACCCAAATAAGCATTTTCACCGGATATTAAAAAAAGTTACGGACTGCAGCTTTAATTTGAAGATTTGATTTTAGAGAATGTATGGCAGTTTTTTTGGTAAAAATTTCTTACAGCCATTTTTTGCAGGGTAAAATTCAGAGAAATCATTGGAAAAGTACCTGAGCAAAATCACCAAGTCTGCATCGCTGGAGAGGCGAGCTAAACCTGACACTCCTTCATTACGAATAAACTGCACCTTCTCCCTGTGGATTAGAAAAGTCAACATTTCGTAATCAGTAGCTCAGGACTGAGGTTTGCTCTGTCAGAATTCTGTGAGTCTCACCTGAGTGAGTGATTCCTAATGAGCTCAGGCTGCCTCTCCTGAAGGATCTCAAATATGTTCGGCTGCCGCAAAAATGTCACTATTTTATCATTATAGGCTATAAAGAGAGGAACAAAGCAATTGGTGAAATGTCAAATGAAGACTCTTCAAAAGTCATAACTCTTTTGTGACACAGCATTTTTATAAAACAATGCATTATGACAGATTTAACAAGATGAACAAATCAAATTCTGTCCAAAAGCTTTCTGATGAAGCTTGGCTTGAAATGACTCACCAACAGGAACTAAATCTTGACACTGGTTGCGACTGGCTGTGAAGGTGTTTGAGGGGCGTGGCAGTACAGCGGGGCCAGCATGCCGAGGGTCATCGCCCACCTGCAGCACAAAAACAGAACAGGAAGTGACCACTATGTACTTCACATCCACATCAAGTCACACAAGAAAAGACCAGCTTACTGCAGAAATACTGTATGAGTATCACAGAATTAAAAATGCCTTTCCATTTAATATGTATATTGATATGTATGCTCAAATGTTTAGCAAATACAAAAAATATATATAAAATGTGTATTACGAAATATTAATATGCACATACACACATATGTATGCATATCAATAGTTAATGACTTTTTTAATTCTCTCTCTTTATATATATATATATATATATATATAAAGAAAAAAAATATGTTAAAATATTACAAATAATTTATTAAATATTATTAAGCATATTAATATTTATTATTTTATATTTTTGTAATTTAAATGTATACAAATAAATAAATAAATAATAGCATACAAGGAAAGATGGTAATCTATATATTAAGAAATGTATCAAGCTGTGACACAAGCTGCATAATTTTCCTGTAAATACTGGGAGGGGGACTTTTTTTAATTAAGTGGGTTAATTTGCATTTTTATGTTATGATAACAGAGGATTTAAAGATTAGTGGAATAATATTTAGACACAATATGTTTACATGCATCCACATATGGCCCACTGACAAACACACTCACACAGGGGACTGGGGGTGGACTGATGTGAAAATGACACAGTGCATGCTGGGACACAGCGGAAGCCGACGCTACGAAATTAATCAGCATATCTAAAGAGGCCTGAGAGGGCGATCTGTTCTCCACACGACGTGACAGAAGATCAGATTCCCTAATGAGAAACCTGGTGAGAATATTTTATGATGTAAAGAATTATGTGAAACTGAAAACTAAAACTAAACATATTTTCATTAGCATATTTGGTTACTGTCCCACGCTATTCTTCTCTATTTTATTCTAGGTTAAATAAAGGTTTGTTATGATCTACACTACTTTTCTAAAGTTTGTGTTTGTTAATATTTATTAATATTTTTTGAAAGTAGTATCTTAAACTCACTAGGTGTCACATTTTTCCTCTGTTCTAGTTTCATTTTTATGGATTTCTTCTTTGTTTGTTTCTCTTCAGTTCCTGTTTCCTTGTTTGTCTTTTCCCGCCACTAGTTAGTCACCATGGTTTTGATTAATTTGATCACACCTGTTTTCTTTGGCTTCTCATCAGCGGATTACCTGGTTCTTTTTTAATAAATACCTTTTAGTTACCTGAACCCTTTTTGGATTTTCTTCTTTGGACTAAAATGTGGCACTTGGGCTACATTTATTTGATTTATATGAAAAATACAGTAAAAACAGTAGTATTGTGAAATATTATTGCAATTTGTTTTACCTTTTAATATATTTTAAAATGTAATTTATGCCTGTGATGGCAAAGTTTAATTTTTGGCATCATTACTCCAGTCTTTCGAGTCACATGATCCTTCAGAAATCATTCTAATACCGTATGCTGATTTGCTGCTCAAGAAACATTTCTTATTATTATCATCAATATTATTATTAAACATTTTTGTTTATTTATTTATGTAACCTTTGTTTAACCAGGCACTCCTAAAGAGAAAGGAAAACTTGAAATCGCATCATATGACCCCTTTAAGAACAGGTTCTTATTTTCAGTAACAGCCTGGCAGGAGAGTTAATGTCTCATGAAAGATATACAAACATATATTATAATACACATACAAAAAAAAATCTCAATTAAAACATTAAAACAAAAAGGCACTCATTGGTAATTTTTTTATAAGCACAGACTGAAATATTTGTTTGTAATTCCAATAGTTTTTGTTGCACATTCCAATAATTTGGGGCAGCAAATTCAAAAGCGGGACGACCATTAGCAGTTTTCTTTCTAGGAATATTCAAAGAAATGTAATTAGATGATCTAGTTGTATATGTATTAGTATGAAGTTGCAAAAACATTTGAAGATATTTAGGTAATAAACAGAAAACAAAACTTTTTTTAAATAAACACATACCAGTGTATTTCCAGTCTTGTATGCAATGATACAGTATAATTCACAATGATGAGTTCTGCAAGGTGCATTAGTAATCAATCTAATTGCTGCATGATACAATACATCTAATTGTTCCAAAACACCTTTAGGTGCATTTCTATATACCACATCACCATAGTCAAACAATGGTAAAACAGTGGTTTCAACAAGATATTTCTTGGCTGATGTAGTAAACACAGATCTATTTCGATACAAAAAACGAAGTCTGTATTTAACTTTCTTCTGAAGATTAATTATGATTAGTGAAAGTTAAAGAGCTATCAAGCCAGATTCCGAGATGTTTAAATGAAGATACTGTCACAGTCATCTGCTGGAGTGCCCTTAAGAGCCATCAGAGGGCACTGTTTTGGACGATGTGTTTATGTTTTAGCTGGACTGCATTTCCCATGGTTCCCCTCCCTCTGCTCCCATCATCCCCTGCTAGTAATGCAAAAGTAATGTCTTTATTACCTTGTTTGTTTGTTTTTCTAAACCACATTACTTTTGTTTTTGTGCTATTCAGAACTAAATTTAAGTCATTAAAAGCATCTTGAATATTAATAACAGCCCTTGTACCTGTTTTAAAGCTTCATCATATGACGATCCTACAGCATAAAAAAATGGTATCATCCGCATATAAGTGGATATAAGTTTTCTGACTACAGATATCCTGAGAAATACTATTAATGTAATTTGAAAACAGGGTTGATGCTAACACAGAGCCTTGAGGAACCCCTTTGTTAATAGTTAATGGTTCAGATCAATCTTGGTTGTTGATCAATATTTACATATTGGGATCTGTTAAATAAATAGCTAGAGAACCAAGATAAATTTAAATTAAACACACCAATACTACGTAATCTGGATAACAAAATAGAATGATCAACTGTATCTAAAGCTTTAGCAAGATCAATAAAAATAGCCGCACAAAATTGTTGTTTCTAATGCATTATAAATATAATTCATAACTTTTACAACTGCCGAAAACCAGATTGAACTTCAGATAAAATGTTACATGTATTAAGAAAACCTATCAATTGCTTATTAATTATTTCTCCATCACCTTTGCAACACAAGAGATTGGACGATATGAGTTTGAATCCATTTTATCACCACTCTTATAGACATGGGATGCAATGGCTATTTTCCAGATTTTAGTCAGATAAATTAAAAATATGGTAAAGGTTCAGATATAACTGATGCACCTACTTTAAAAAAGAAAGGATCTAAGGCATCTAGATCAGCAGGTTTTTGGGTTAAGTTTGTGTAATTCATAGTAAACCTGCAACTTATTAACTGGTTGTGTAAACCATGATACATTTTTTCAGGATTTTTGATGAAAGCGTCAGTCTCCACCGCCATTCACGACAGTACCACGATGCATGCCTGTGCATTGCTCTGCTTGAAAACAAGCCGCAGCGCATGCGGGTTCTACGTCAGAACGCCGGCTCCTGCGTTAGCAGGATCTCACTCATGCGTCGTGGTACTCTCGTTAATGGTGGCGGAGACTGATGCAGAAGTAAAAAATTGTTGAATAAAGCTGTTATTTTTGTTTTCTTTGCGCACACATTTATGGTTTCTATAGCCGTGGCATCATTATGATGGTATGAAGAGATGGATTAATTCATGTAGGACGCCACTGAAGGCCTAGGTGTAAAATGCACAGCCCGCCACTGTATTTTAACAATGTCCTTACTACCTTTCTGGGCCTTGAACATGGTAGTTAAGTTGCTGTCTATGCAGGCTCAGAAAGCTCTCGGATTTCATCAAAAATATCTTCATTTGTGTTCCGAATATGAATGGAGGTCTTACAGGTTTGGAACGACATGAGGGTGAGTAATTAATGACAGAATTTAAATTTTTGGGTGAACTATCCCTTTAATTCAAATCCCTTCTGCAATGATGCAAACCACATGGGAGGAGCTTGAATTTTAATCTCAAGCGTCTGATTGGAGGAGGCCTCTAGCGGACGTGTGTATGGAAGGCTCACCAGGCGTTGTGTGCTCACCTCCCCTGCGCTGTGGCTGCGCTGGCGGCTGAGGTGCTGGCGGTGGGCGAGGATGCTGCTGGGTCGGGCGCTCTGCAGTGGCAGTCGTGGGTCTATGAAGGTGGTCGCCCTGCAGTTATGGTCCACAAAGAAAGGCTGAGGAAAAGACAATCATGTCAAGCAATTAGGTCGAAGGATTTAAAAGCACAAATGTGATGCTCACATTCATGTTAAAGCACTTACAAGAATGCGCCAGTAAAACCCTAACACATGAAATATTTACATTAAGTGTTACGGTTGTACTTTTAAAGCATATTTTAAACATTTATCTGCTGTACCACCAGCTTTCCTGCTAAGCTTCCATTATAAGTGTATAACTGTAAAGCTCTTTCCGATAGAAAATAATTAATCTCTAAGGAGCTAGAAAATTAAATAATAGTGTATAAGAAAAGTATATTAAATTATAACATTTTATATTTTATTTATATTGGGTTTTTTTATTTAGAGAACTGTTGTTTATATTTCACAGACAATATATATTTTTTTTATATATATATATACTGTAAAAGGGACTAAATATAAAAGGAGAAAGACAGTGAATGACTGGCATATAAGAACAAAAAAGAAAAATAATTATGTATAATAAATATGGATGGTTAAAAAAAAAGTTTTTTTCAAAAACATTAAAAAAAAACTTACTGTCCCCAAACTTTTGAATGGTATATATTGTTTATTTTTGGCCATATTTTATTTAGAAATGTACTGTAAAATTAAAAGCAGGGGGTGGAAAAATGGCTGATAGGAGACAGAGAGAGCTCTATATCCAGAATGTGGACACAGAACGCAGAGAAGATGTTTCCAGACCTTTCCAGTGTGGTCGTGTTTCATTTCCCAGCCCCGCGGGAGATCCAGCTGTTTGTTGGCGAACATGTTGAGGAAGGCAACCAGGTCTCGATTGTGCTGGTAGCGCTCAAAGTGGTGCGCGTCCCGTCGCACTTTACTGATCATGTGTTTTAGACATGTGTTACTTGTAAACATGCGGTAGGCACTCTGAGAAAGAAAAAACAACAGACAAGAGTGTTTCTAAGTCTTTAAGTAATGCTAGTGGCCTTCTAAAAAGTAAAAATTCAACAAAATGACTTATTATGTAGCAATATATCATGTTACTTTTAAAAGAAACGTTTCAACAAAATTCATGACAGAACCAGATAACGGGTTTGTGAGAATCAGTTGTTTTTATGGCATGATTTACCACAAATTTCTTTCAAGGGACTGAAAATTGGCTAGTGGTAAAAAAAAAAAAAGTGTGAATAATTAATGTGTTGGAAGACTAACAGGGTTGGAATGCAGTATGGTAAAGAAATCCGGGCTGGTGAGAAACTTGGCGCTGGGGGACTGAAGCAGCAGAGACAAGCGGGAGCGAGAGCTAGTAGGCCCAACCACACCGTCCCAACGGTACTCTGAAAGAGAGGACAACTATAGTGTGATAATTATATTGGGTTAAATCAAAAGATCTTTTTTCTCTATTTCATATTTCCTTGAATCTAAATAACCAGGCTCATCTAAATGCAGTGCATGTATGTGGTGTGTGTACTTCTATTGTGAGAGAGTACCAGGTATGGAGTGATGCAGCAGGTCGGTTTCGTCTGTAGGCATCTCTGCAGCCTGTTCGTCTGTCCTCTCATTGGTTATTGTCCTCCGAATACTCTGATACCTGAACAAAACAAAGAGGTACTTAAATGTATTTGCATATTTAGTCCTATTTTTCATGTAATAATCTTTTCACAAGGATAATTGTACTTTATCATTCATAATTATACTTTGTTGCTTCTGTAATGTATTTATTATTGCTAAATTAGATATTGCTATCGTGGCCTATTCTGCAGTTTTAAATAAATTAAATAAAAATAAAAAATGCAATAAAATAAAATAAAAAATTGAAAAAAACATTATCACAAAAACACAAACACAAAAAAATGAATAATAAATTATATAATAATAATAATTATTATTATTATAATTATTATTATTACAGTACAGCTGTTTTTAATATATAAATTTTATTATAAGACACATTTCTTGAGCACCAAAACAGCACATTACTATGATTTCTTCAAAGGAAAACACTTAATTATTTAATTTAATTTAAATAGTATAAACATAATACTTGCAAATTATATCAATTAAATTAAATTAAATTAAATTAAATTAAATTAAATTAAATTAAATTACATTACATTACATTACATTACAAATGTATATGCCACAAATAATTCCTGCCAGCCATGACACTGTATTTTGCATTATTTTCAGCTGTGAAGGGAACATTCACATATGTGTTGCCACATACTGTTCTCAAGGGAAAAAATCCTAGATTTAAAAAGCTTTATTTGATTGTCATTTTTACTGACATTTTATGCTTGGCAAACTGTTAATTTTGGATGCTGTACGCAGCTATGCTACAATTGCTTTTGCAAGTGAAATGCATGCTAATTAAGTACAATGAATTGAAATCAAGTTAAGGGAGAGAAAGCAGATGAGAGAGAGCATAAGAGATGTTTTGATGGAGCATGATAATGGCAGAACAGATTAGGTTGCTGTGGTGACTGCTGGGTGACATTTTTAAAGAGCTGTTTTTCCATACAAGTGAGGATTAACAAATGGCATTTTGGACTCAGATAAATCCCAAGATAAGGTCACTGTGTGCTCAAAACACTCCTTTTATCAGAATTCACTCTAATCACTGCTGATTTCATGCCATCTTGATAGATTTTGGCTGGTGTAAACACACCGATATGTGAATATTGTGTTCATGTGTGACTGACCTTCGGTTGAGCTGCTCCATCTGTTGAATGGAGTTGGATCTCTGTAGGACCTGAGGTGCAGGTGGAGCAGTGGGCCGCTGCCAGGTGGTGGTTCTATTCACATGATCCACATAGAAAATCCTGCCGTGGCTGTCAATACGAGCCTCCCAGTCTACAACATACACATTTAAAGTCCACTTATTATGTTATAATAAAATATAATTATGTAAATACCCTTATTTCAAAACAGCAAAAAATAAATCTAATTTTCCATGATTATGTCCCATTTAGGACAGGTTGGGCGAATCTCATACAAAGACAAAAATATTCCCTCACTTGGCGGAAGAGGCTCGTCCACTCTCTGATAGCGGCTGATGTCATGACGCACTGAAGGAAGAGATCGCATTAGCTGATGGCCATTCACTTGAGCACTGGCTCCTTCAGAAAGGCAAAAATGTGTTGTTCGTGTTATGTAAACATACATATATTGTACACAAATTATTCATAAAGTCTCCTATTATTCCTATTATATAAAGCCAGACAATAGGTTATATTTTATTTGAATAGAATTAATAATATTTTAATAATAGCATATAGAATTTTTTTTAATTAATGGAATATTTTATAATAAAAAATATAAATGTAAATATTTTTTATATTAAAAGTATCATTATTATTATTTATGTTCTTAATAGTTCATATTTATTTAAATGTGTTACGTAGTACTATTTTAAATATGTTTAATATTATGATATTATTTACAATAGTATTATTTTTATTATCTTATTAAATGTGCAGAAAAGTTAAAACTGTTGGTAAAAGCTGATGAAAGTTTGATGACAACTCTCATAAAATTCCCCAATCCCCTCTGCTGACTTACTATATAAATGACATGTAGCATCACACAGGAAGTTACCTGTCTCTCCTTCTGTTACCGTGGCAACCTGTGCTGCGTCAGCTGCCCTCCTCATGTCATTGGTTAATTCCATCCCTTCAGCCTGTGATGAGTTCCCTGATGCTTGCAGACTCTGCCTCCTCTGCCAGATTTCGGCATCTTCCTCCCCCTCATTGCCTGCCTCACTGGAGTTTCCCTGCTCCGGCTGTTTAACTGCTGTGGCTCCGCCCCCTTCACTAGCTGCATTGCTGGCAGATGCTGAGGACTCTGTGACTGTAGCGGCCTCTTCTTCCCCAGTGATCACCTTGGGTGCAACTCCTTCCTCATCCTATAAGAAAAGTATTATGTGTAATGATGCAAAGGAAGAACTACATAACAATATAAATTGGCAAAATGATGATGATGACGATGATTATCATCATCATCACAAGACGCTGCTCAAGTGATTTAATGTAGAAGCTTTTTATTAATCAAAATATGAATTAATCAAGTTCAATCATTGTGAATATAGCCATTTATGTATCAAGGTATTTTACTAATATAATCATGTATTTCAGGGGCATCATGCACTCTTGATTTTTGAGGGGTTCTCATATATGTGTGAGTAAATGCGTTTTGCACCTTTATAGATTGTTATTTGATCAATAAATGATGATGGGCAAAGTAGAGTAGCCTAATAGTGTAATCTATTAACTACTCATAAAACCCCGACTTTTTACTTAAGTTCCAGATATGGGTGTCATGCCATAAAATATTTTTAATACGACTGACTTTGCATTTAATGTGAATTTAATAACAATATTGTTGCTAATTATAACACTTTCATTTCACAGAGAGTAAAGAACATTTACATTATCAAATAACATTTTTATTCAGTCTAGCCAGAGTTCAGGCACTCTCAAAAACTCCCATTATAATCACTGAATCTGTTTACACTGTGAAATGAATATCTTTCTTACATGCGTACGCACATCTGCACTTTTTTGTTTCTGATGAGAGAACTCACCAGATAATTCAGTCAGCGAGCAAGTGAACAAAACACCGCGTTTCAGCGATGACTCATCTGAACGTCTCTGATTGGCCATTGTATTCATAAGCTCAACAGCATTGTGTGTGATTGGTTATAATGTAGCACTGTACAAACACGTCTGTCTCTGGCTCAGTGCACCCCAGTTAAATATAAAAATATTTAAAACCTGCATGGAAAATAGGCTAATATAACGTATTCCCATAACAGGTTAAAAAAGGGGGGAAGCCAAACCCTACAGACCTGTATTTTGGGAGCTGGTTGCTGAGCGCTGCTGGTGCTCTGTGTCGAGTCTCCAGAGGCAGCAGCTCCTTCCTGACCATCCTCAGCACCTCCATTTTGGCTCGTTGTGGTGGCACTGCTCGACCCTGATGCTGTGGCCTCTGTATCTGTGCGTCTGTCTCTGGCTCAGTGCCAGCCAGCGAACACAGATTTGAATTTAGCAGCTGATGCTGTGCCGCACTGAACGATCTAATCACACCGGTGTGATTGTATCAAATATAAAAAACTATTATTCGGCTATTTTTTGTCTTTTGGAAGCTGCATTCAAAATCCACTTGGCTCAGAAATCTGAGGGGGCACGTGCCCCCTCACTTTAAATGGGCATGACGCCTCTGATGTATTTGCCTGTGTGTATAGAAGCCTGCATGAAAATGGTATGTGCTTACATAAGATGAAGTTGCACGGCCTGTTTTGACATTAGACAAAATATATGATGGGGCCTCTTCCTTTCATGAAACATAAATTGAGGCCTCCTGTCTGCTATGTATGAAATGTATAGAACAAGCCTTGAGGAAAAACTGGATAAAAGAGGGTGCAGAAACAGACTCTTGAGATGCTCTGCAGAGTCTCTCGGCTTCGTTATCTTTTGATAATAAAGTCTATCTTCTGGCATCAAAACCTCAAGACTTCGAGAGTGATTTCTTAGAGAAGCGGCGAAAACCACCACATTAACACGCATGAGGTGTGCTATAAAATGTAAAATAAATTATGAGTTTGTCATAAAATATGATAAAACACCTTTATTTAGTCAATAATTTAACTTGGTTTTAATAAGGTACTAATACTTCAATAATACTAATACTTCAGTTAATACTTCATGATTAACAATACCTCAGCCATATATGAGAGAGAGACAAATATTATCAATAAAAAAATTCACAAAATTAATTAAAAAATCTTCAGAGAAGCTTAAAATGTTAAAAAATATGAAAAAAGTAATAAGATTTTTAAAAATAAATAACTATTAACAATTTATAACCTTCATGAAAACATGTTTACATAACAGGTCATAAAATGTGTCGTTAAAACAAATTAATTACAAATTATAATTATATTAAAATTAAGGGGGGAAGCCAAACCCTACAGACCTGTATTTTGGGAGCTGGTTGCTGAGCGCTGCTGGTGCTCTGTGTCGAGTCTCCAGAGGCAGCAGCTCCTTCCTGACCATCCTCAGCACCTCCATTTTGGCTCGTTGTGGTGGCACTGCTCGACCCTGATGCTGTGGCCTCTGTATCTGTGGCGCTGCTCGCTACTTCTGCTTCAAGCCTCTCTTTCACGGGACCCTCCCCTTTGTCCTGTTCAGAGGAGGTGTGTCCATCAGGCCGCTGAGCGCCATTGGTCAATGTCATATCCTGGGAGGCGTGTCCCTCCTCATCTTCATCAGAATCTATATGTAACATAGCATTGAGCCGTGTGTCCGTGGGGAAACTTGAGCGTAGTTTAGGTGAGGCGGCCCCAAGCGGTCTGTCTCCGGGGCCCTTAGGGGCTTCAACGGCATCCAGGTAGTCGTTAAGCGAGGCCTGGCGATGAGTGTGGCGCGGGGTTCCTTCGATAGACTCTGGAGCTCCGTCTCTCAAGAGCCGATCCTCATCAGGGTCCATCATGCACTCGTCAGTCCTAAAGGTGTCACCGTGCAGGGACCCTTCAGAGCCGGTGGGCGAGGGGCCCCTGGCAATGCGGGATGAAGGATGCAAAACATCCTCATCATCCGATGGGCTCCCAGGATCTCCGTTCATAGAGGAGGCTCCCAGCAGAGATCCCATGGCATCTAAAAAAGCGTAATACTTTTATTCAGCAAGGATACATTAAATTGATCAACAGTGACAGTAAAGACATTTAAAATGTTACAAAATATTTCTGTTTCAAATAAATGATGTTATTTTGAAATTTATATTCATCAAATAACTCTGAAAAAGGATCTTTTGAGGCATGGCATGAAGGGGACCCACTAAAACCCCCTTAAATAAATAAGTATATATTTTAACCAAGTAATATACTTTATTAGCTAACTGTAGGCTGGTTATAGTTTACAAGAATTACATAATGGGTAGTATTTTACAACAAATCTGAATATAGCTCATCAAAACATATTTTTGAATCAGAAATATGTCTTTTATGAGTGGAAATTGGCAAGGATGTAACTGTAAAAACTGTAAGGTTAAAGGTTAGGTTGTTGAAAAAGGGTTTAGTCTGGACTGAAGATAGAAAGAGAAAACAGTTTCAAAATATACAAAAATATAAACTTAAAAACTGAAAATACTGCTTCACAACCAATTAAAAGTACTTTTTTTCTTTTGAAAGAAATCAATACTTTTATTTAGCATGAATGCATTATATTGATCAAAAGTGACTATAATGACATTTATAATTTTACAAAATATATAACGTTACAAAATGTATAAAGTTACAAAATGCATAAAGTTACAAAAGATTTCATGTTCAAATAAATGCTGTTTCATTCAACAACAAACAAAAAAAAGTATCACGGTTTACACAAAAATATTAAGCGGCACAACTGTTGCTGATAATAATAGAAAATAATTGAAAATAAATGTTTCTTATTAGAATGGTTCCTGAAGGATATCTGAATGATCACGTGACACTCACTAAGACTGGAGTAATGATGCCGAAAATTCAGCTTTTTCATCACAGGAATATATTACAGTTTACAATATATTAAAACAGAAAACAGTTATTTGAAATTGTAATAATATTTCACAATATTCCTATTTTTACTGTAAAAATAAGAATACTGTAAGTTTTACTGTAAACATACTGTAATCCATACCTTCATGTCCGTTGGAGGTGATCTCCACCCTGAAGTGAAGCTGTCCGCTCACATGTTCTGTCGGTAGACGACGTGAAAGTGTGTAGCTCACATGTTGATCCCTTTTTTAAAAAAAAATAATAATAATAATAAATCACACAGATAACTATTATTGTATTGTAATAAAATCAGTTTGTAATATAGTTCATAAAAAAGAATAAATCTTTATAAATAAATAAGCTTACACATAAATATTGTTTTGTCAATGAAAATATGACCAAATACAGTATGTACCTCTAAATGTAACATCTTGGGATCCAAAAAAAAAAAAAAATTTTATTTAACTTCCTGAATTATTAAACAAGTTGTGTCTAGATAAACGTCTGTAGACAGAAATGAACTGCAGGACACTTGGAGGCTACAGCTCTTTGGTTGATAAAAGTTCATACATAATAGACCCTCGCAGGTATATTTCAATAGCGAATACTGACCCGGCTGTATGTCTCTCCAGCAGTCTCTGCACTGGTATTGTCAGCTGACCTAAAAAGCGTTTGATGATTGGGCGACTTTTTGCAAATTTGTCCTTGACCTCAATTTCCAAAACATCCGTCATCAGACCAACAAAAGTGTACTTCTGCAGGGGAAAAGAAAAGAAGTATGAAAATGAAGGTTTACAGTTATGTTTCTGTGCAGTGGAGGTAAAATAATAGTCAATCCTACAATATATTCAGCCTCATTTATGGTAACAAAACTTTACTCTTATTTACTGTAAATAAAACATTTATAAATGTACCATGGTAGTATTCTTAAAAATACCCTGAAGTACCATGTAAATACATTGATATGTTTATCATTTAGTATCATTCACTACGTTTTTTTTTTTATAATAAAGAAAAAAAGTTTAATTTAGCAAATGTTACCAACTTATAGTACAGTAATTTCTGAAGAAATCTGAGGTTAAGGCCTTGCTCAAGGGCACAATGCATTTACTGAAAACTTCTCGTTTCAGAGTCACCCCTACTTGGTTACATCCCATTAACTTCTCAGCTCCTCACAGTGGACTGACAGCAGGGACGTCACCCTGCAGCATCCAGAGGTTAAGCGCTGAAGAAGTGAACACAAACAGCACACATCATTAACTGGCCCACACACATGAATATAAATTACCTCTCCGTGCCACGCAGGGTTAGTCGTGTTTGATATGATGGAGGTTCGTCTCTCCTGGCCGTGGTGGGTGAATGTAGGGAAGCCGTGCCTCTTACCAGGGTGAATGCTCATCTTCAGATAGGGGTCCGGATTAAAAAACATGCCCTTCTTCAGACCCTGAGCCCTGATATCTGCAACATACACACACACACACATACACACACACACACACACACACACACACACAAAGTGAGCTAGCAGTCTATCTATCTATCTATCTATCTATCTATCTGCACTAGCTGCTCATTGCCACAAGAGGGCAGATATATAGAAGAGCTTTAATTTAAAAGACAACACATGCTTTATATGTGAGCTTTGAGGTAGGATAAGACACATTTCAAATCATTGTAAATTAGTTTCAAATATTAAATAAATTAAGCCAAATTAACTATATTACTTGGTGCATGCATTGTTTATTGTTAGTTAAGAAAGGTTATTATTTATTGACTGTTAGTGTTGTTATAATGTATCCATTGTTGCAGTTTTATAAACAGCAATATATCATTTGAAGTTGTTTTAAGTGCACTGTAATGATTTTACCATGGTTAAGGAAGGTTTGGGTGGTAAAATCACAGTACTGCCTCTCAAACGGCTTACAAATTTCATATATACAGAAATCAGTTTCATAAAGAAATCTTCAGTCTCTTTTACTAAAATGAGAGTAGGTGTTGTAAATACCAAGCATTCTTACCTGACAGAGTAAAGCTGACCAATTTCCTGCAGTGTTCTGTGACAGACTGTCCATCCACCTGCCCTTCTGCCCCGACCTGTGGAAGACACCATAACACACATTTACACATTATCATATAGAGAAATACAGCAGTTTTATTTTAGTATCGCTGAGACACTATATACTATTATAGTTTTTATTCCTATTTTACATTTTATTTTATTTTTATATTTTTTGTTTTCATTTTAATTTTCGTTTTAGTAATTTTGTGGTTTTTGTCAGTTTTATTTTTTTTATATGTCTATATAGTTATTATTATTATTATTATTATTATTATTATTATTATTTAATTTCAGTTTTAGTTTTAGTTATTTTAGTACAACCAATTAACCTAAATGAAAATCACAAATGTTGCTTTGGCAAAGTTTTTTTAATATATTATTTTATTAAGTTATTAAGTTAAGTTATTGTTTATATTATTTCAAAATGTTTTTTTTTTTATGGTTTTAGTTTTTTGTTCGTGGTTTATAATGCCCAGAGAAACCCAGACCTGGATTAATATTTGAAATAATTTCAAATAGTTTCTGCCAAAAACTGAGCTGGAGTGATTACAATAAAACTGTGGTAATCTGGCATTAACCCCCATTTTAATGCAAAACAATAAATAAATAAATCTTCTTGAAGGAGATCTCATTTATTTAATATTTATTCCATATATTCACATATGTATTAAATATTTATTTTGCATATTTATTCAATTTAATATATTTTACAGCTGTATTTTGGTTGAAACTATGGTTATCATGTTACATTTTAGCAAGAGAGAGGTTCAGGATCATTGTCATGAATATTTCAATAACATTATAATGTTCCTGCTCATTAATATAGCAGTGTTTGATTTATGATTATAGACTCTCGTTCAGCCGCAGAGCCCCAACCTGACGACTTCTGAATGATGGTGAGACTGAGATATTATAATTTCCATATGTTAAGCCATTGCACATGAAACTCTCATTTAAGTCAATTGTTCGGGGTGTGTATTCGCTCAAAACGTGTTCTGCATCAATCCAAACAATACAAAGTAGCAACAGTAATTTTATCAAAACATCCATTTTCAAAATACATGTTCAAAAATCAGATCACATGTTCTATTTGCTTGAGGAGTCATTTCAGCACGCCTCAGATCACAGTTACATGATCTGATGTATTCATTCACTTCCATAGCACAAAAATAAGCTCAAACGGTAGTTCAAACAGTAATAGTAATGCTTTGCGAGTGAATCGGTCCGTTAACTCTAGGGGTTCAAGTTCAGACTCATGTCACAGAGGGTGGAATGTGCCCTTTGCACTAGTTCTGTGGCGTCGTGTCGGTAGCCAGGCACTAAGCATATCAAAGAGCGCTCTCAACTTCCTGTGCATTCCCTGCGTAGCAACAGTAATTTTATCAAAACATCCATTTTCAAAATACATGTTCAAAAATCAGATCACATGTTCTATTTGCTTGAGGAGTCATTTCAGCACGCCTCAGATCACAGTTACATGATCTGATGTATTCATTCACTTCCATAGCACAAAAATAAGCTCAAACGGTAGTTCAAACAGTAATAGTAATGCTTTACGAGTGAATCGGTCCGTTAACTCTAGGGGTTCAAGTTCAGACTCATGTCGCAGAGGGTGGAATGTGCCCTTTGCACTAGTTCTGTGGCGTCGTGTCGGCAGCCAGGCACTAAGCATATCAAAGAGCGCTCTCAACTTCCTGTGCATTCCCTGCATGCCTGTGAACATGATATGTCTCTGAGGAGTTTAGTCAAACTCTAGCTCATGATAATGGAGCTTGCAGACACACAGGCAGAGAAAGACTAAGAAACACATGCAGGTGGAGACCATGTGCGATGATCGCACATGTATCTGCAGCATTTGTGCACCAGTTCGAAGCATTATAAAATAACCTATATACACAAACATCAAATTAATTTTATATTAACGGTATAAGTTAACTTGGTGCTTAAGAACCATTAACAGTCTTAAATGCTGGTTAGGCTAGTATATTACTTGGAATTAAAGGGTTAGTTCACCCAAAAATGAAAATTAGGTTTTACTCACCCCCGAGGCATCCTAGGTGTATATGACTTTCTTCTTTCAGACGAATCCATTCGGAGTTATATAAAAAATTGTCCAGGCTATTCCAAGCTCTATCATTGCAGTCAGTGTTGCAGTTCATCAGTCCAAAAGAAGTGAAATAAAGTGCATCCATTCATAATAAAAAAGCGCCTCACACAGCTGCGGGGGGTGAACAAAGGCCTCCTGTAGAGAATCGATGCGTTTTTGTAAGACATATATCCATATTCAAAATGTAATAATCACTTTAATCTAGCTTGCGCAGACTGTTGTAAACGGAAGCAGCTCCGGGCGGATGACGTATGAGGCCGGCTTTGCGTAGAAAGTCATATACACCTAGGATGCCTCGGGGGTGAGTAAGACACAGCCTAATTTTCATTTTTTGGTGAACTAACCCTTAAATTACACCTCCATTTTTTGGAAATAAATTAATATTAAATGCATCAAAAGTGACAGTAAAGTCATTTATAATATTACAAAAGATCCAATAAATGCTGTTCTTTTTTACTTTAATTATCAAAGAATTCCATTAAATAAATAAATAAAACAGTATCAGTATGCAACAGTATCAGCATTAAGCGTCTCAACTGTTTTTAACGTTGTTACTAATAATAAATGTATCTTCAGCAAATCAACATATTAAAATGAAGACTGGTGTAATGATGCTAAAAAATTCAGCTTTGCCATCAGATAAATAAATTATATTTAAAAATATATTCAAGTAGTAAACAGTTATTTTAAATAGAAATAATATTTAACAATATTACTGTTTTACTTCACTTTTTTAAATAAATGCAGTCTCGGTGAGCAGAATAGACTTTCAGGAGCATTAAAAATCTTACAGACCCCAAACTTTTGAAGTGTAGTGTAATTAAATTAACATAAATTCTATTTAAAATACAAAATATATAAAAATGCTATTTAAATATCACATTTAAAATTATTTATCAAAGTATTATTTGTTGTTACATTTAACTATATATATATATATATATTTAAACATGTCTATTTATTAGTCAATATGAAAAGTTTTTTATTTACATTTTTATTTTTTGAATTAATAAATTGATAATTGATTTCTAAGGGGAACTACATACTTTCTGTGCTACAAAACAAATTCTGTGCTACTACAAAATAATTCTATTTTTTCCCCCTTTTTTATTCTTTTGTTGTGGTGATAGAACAGGAATGGAATTTGGAAATATTACAAACATGATTTCATGAAAGAATTAACATGAACAAAAAAATCTACTATTATGAAAACATAAAATGCCATTTTGATGAAAGATGCTTTTATGTTTCTCTCAAGTTCATGTGACTCAGTCACTTTTAAAATGGATTATGAGTAAAAATACTCCTTTCAAGCACAATTCAAATGGTGACCGGTCAACAGAAGTGTGTTTGCAGCCCCATCTGATGCCAACAAATCAGTGTTTTAAATCCTAATACTTTTAAGTCAAATACTTAACACAGACACACACACTTACTGTAACTCCAGGGTTCTTGACAGTGATGCAGGGTGTTATGGCCCTCAATGCTCCACTCACTCCATGGTAATATTTGAAACATATTTTGGTCTCCGCTGTGAAATATAAACACAAGATCATGTTTCTAACTACAAAATAATTCTATTTCCCCCCCCCCCCCTTGTTTTATTCTTTTGTTGTGGTGATAGAACAGGAATGGAATTTGGAAATATTACAAACATGATTTCATGAAAGAATTAACATGAACAAAAAAATCTACTATTATGAAAACATAAAATGCCATTTTGATGAAAGATGCTTTTATGTTTCTCTCAAGTTCGGTCACTTTTAAAATGCAAACAAATGGTAAAGGGTTTGTCCTGAAGGTAATGGGCCATGTTCTTAGTTGGTGTTTCCTGTTCTTTAACTCCTCAACTCAACATGCCCCTAATCATACAAACCTCCAACCAGCTCCCATCTGATTGGGTCTCTCAAAAATCCTACTTCATACAGAAAACAGAAATATAGCTCAATACACTCATGCATGCATAATAAATATAGAATAGTCAAGCACAAATGCACCATAAAATAACTGTATACACACTGAAAATTCTAGCATTAGTATTAGTAATGTTATGCATGATGCGGCATATAAATATAAATGTTACATTTATAATATTAATTATAAATTATTAATAAAATTAATAATACCAAAATACAGTGTATATAAAACACATGTAATAGTAACACTCTACACACATACATACAATAATATAAACACAATATTATGTACTACATGATAATATAAAATCTACGTTACAAGTAGAGCATCTAGTGGCAAAGTAAAAAGAGGGCACTAATGAATTGACTGGCAGTGATTCAAAGCAGACAGGACACATTGTGGGAGAACTGAGTCCATGAGCACATTAGCTTCAATTTCCAGCCTGAGCCTGTTTAATCAATACAGCCACATAAACCAGAGACCCAATGACCCACTGCTGATTTTCTCCCTGTGACACAATCTTTTTCTCCTTTCCGCCCTCTGATTCAGGACAAACAGTATCTGAACAAAAGAGTGAATAACCTCTAATGACAAAACTCCCAATTAAGCAATCAGCTCACTTCAGGGAGAATTAGGCCTTATTAGGACAGGCACCAAAAATGTGATGTCAAATATCGGACTCAAATCCGTTTTTGTAGTCTGACCTACCTACCTACCTACCAAATAAAATAAAATAAAATAAAATAAAATAAAATAAAATAAAATAAAATAAAATAAAATAAAATAAAATAAAATAAAATAAAATAAAATAAAATAAAATAAAATAAAATAAAAAATAATAAAAAAAATAATAAAAAAAATAAAATTTTTTTTTAAATAAAATAAAATAAATAAAACACATTCTTACCACTTTTGTATACGGTTTGAAATTGGATTAAAATCAACTTTTTTGGAAAAGTGGTTCAGATTTGATTTCAAATAGTTTATCCAGGATGTGGCAAGCTTTTAAAATCAGATATACCAGATAGACACCTCCATCTGAACAAACAGATCCGATTTCAGCACTTGCAAAATGACAGTCCAGACAGCACATCCTAAAGATCAGATGTGAAAAGCGAAACAGAATTGGGTGCAGTGAAAACATCCTTAGAGACATGCTAAATAAACAAAATCAATTTGACATGAGATCTTCACATTTATAAACCTTCCCAAAATGTATTATTTTTTCCATTATAATAAGAAAAAAAGTGCATGTATAACTCAATTGTACAATTTCTAGCTCCAATTGACGGTAGCCATTGACTTCCATATTATAAATTTTTTCCATACTATGGAAGTCAAGGTGCTACCGTCAAGTGTTTGGTTACCAATATTCTTCAAAATATTTTCATGCGTGCTCAACAGCTGAATGAAATTCATACATGTTTGGAACAACTTGAGGGTAAGTAAATGATGACAGAATTTAAATTTTTAGGTGAACTATCCCTTTAAATTTCCGGAGCTATGAAAGAGAAATCTTTGAGCGACAAAATTTTCTTTAAAGTGAGTGTATATAAGAAAATGCCACTTCCAATATACCAATTGTAATTCCAAACAATCATACAATGACTCCATGAAGAAGAATCAGACATTCAGAAGTGAGTTTGTTCTGAAGAAATGTTTCCAGCCCCTGTTTCTCTCTAGGTGTGACGGCAGCCTGTGATCAGTAGTTGTGGGACACTCTTTATTCTGTCAGACCCTCAGTGAATAGACCAGCCTTGTGTACTGTGATCTACAGCAGCTCTTCTGAAACTATATCACAGCACTGACACTGGGCCTCTGTTACTGAACGTCTACAAGAAGCCACAATTCACCCGAACATGTCACATGACATGTCAATCATCTCTGACTCCAGCAGCGGTGCCTCACATCATCCCGTTTCCTGGAAAAACCAGGTAAATGCCTTACTATAAGATGATCAAAGATAAGCCAAATAAACAAAGTTAACGCAGATTAATAAAATGTTTCATGTCTTAAAAGTAGCACAGTTAACACACGTGACTAATTGACATTAAAAGAAGAGAAATAATATGACCTGCACAGCTGTCTGTGACTCTTGTTTATCAGCAGATGTTAAAAAGGCTTCCTTAACCGCATTTTTTTTATGGGTGAATCTTGAAACACCCCAAAATAAAAAAGATATTTTTAAAATAAGAAATAATATTTTATATTTAAATAATACAAAAAAAAATCATAATGGTCACAAAGAATTCATTCATTCAAAAGTCATTAACTTAATGGGTCTGTTTTGTGTGTGTGTGTGTGTGTGTGTGTGTGTGTAATCCCCATTATTAAAAAATAGTGCTAAAAAAATCTGAAATAAATAGCCTCATTATTTAAACCAGTATAAAAAAGGCAGTAGAACAAATATTAACAAATTCAGATCTTTTTTTATTTATTTATTTATTATGTAATGTGAAGATAATTTGTCATGACAATAATGTCATAATGCAAAAAATGTTGATAGACTTAAAACAGGCTTAATTTTCTTTATGGAAAATATAATTTAATATTTCTTTCATTTGATTTTGGGCTAAAATATGACCAAGTATGCTGATATAGGTTTTGTGATGGGTTAAATCTTTTAACAAAAATTTATGAATACATTGAAATGTAATGCAGTACATCTGAAGGTGATTTATACTTTTTACTCAACCTCAGGCCATCATCGGAACATATTTGGAGAAATTTAGTATTACATCACAAATGGATCACAAATGCATTTATTTAGAAATGTTTTGGACTGTTTTGGCTTGTTTTTTTTAAACATATTTTTCTCCTGATTCAGACCAGACAACTTTTTCACTGGAGAAAGCAATATTATGGATTATGGACAGAAGAAACGGTTTAAAATTAAACATTTCTAATTTCCAACAAACATGCAGATTTTTGCTCCACAAGATGTTAATTGATGGACTGGAGTGTGGATTACTTGTGGATTATTGTGATATATTATTGTGATATTGTGATATTTTATCAGCGGTTTGGACTTTCATTCTGACGGCACCCATTCACTGCAGAGGATCCATTGGTTAGCAAGTGATG